AGTGAATTTTACAAGTCGATAAATTTATGTTCCTTATTTATCCGAACCATCACACTTGTAAGTTGTAAGACACCTTTAGCATCTCATCGAGGAATTTCTAAAATCTTAAAGTTCTTTATAAACATGTCAATAGTTCTCCATTTCTGTAACTAAACCGTCCTGAGAGTAAGCTTCCACTGATAGTATTGCCTTGTTATGTGTTCCAGGTCAAAAATTCAGGAACCTGTCAGTGTGACGTAGTTAAAAAGAACAATTTAAAAATATAATCTGTTCAGCAAATCCCGGGATTGAGCTACTGAAGTTGTTGACTGTGTAACTAAAACAACAACCAGCCTCCCTAAACTTAAATACCCAACAGTGTAAATCATTGTGATCCTAGTTGTCTCTTTATTCAGCTACTAATTAATGATAATCATATTTTTAAACGTTCCTACGTTTCTGATCTGTGATTCGAAAATACCAAGCAAGATTATCATCTGTAATCACCAGATGTCGATTCCTGAGATTACTTTTTGTATAAAGAAGCAAAATGATCAGGCGAATATGCTTTGGACGATATGGAGATCATTAGATGTGTCATCTCAAAAGCTTGACTTCTAAAGCTTTTCACGGATTTGTTGATCAGTAGGAACAGGGTTAGTGTATCAGCACAACTCAAAAGTATTTTCAGGCGTAGGGATTAGACTGATGAATCGAAAATTTTGTAAGGTAAATTTTTTCTGACTTCGGTTGTCGGACAAACTAAATTTACCTATTCATATTTATTATTATATGCACTCGTACACCAGTTTCATTCAATCAATTGGATATATTTCTGGCTCGGAACCTGTTACGTAATTGTGTGTTATTAAACGAATTTATTTTTATCAGGTTATTGAAGAACTTCCTCTGTATCCTTGATTAAAATATAATCTAGATGAAAATTGATTGAAATCGTGAACCGATCTAAGTTAAATAATATTGAATGAAGTCATTAATAATAATGATAATGTGATATTTTCACCATTGAAACCACGATCTGACCTTAGGTAGATTATTATTGAAAACATGTGAAGACTGAACGACCATTTTGTCCTAGTATAAGACTCTTCAGTGGTGCACATCTACATTCCTGCATTACTGAGGAGTCCTGTTAGTTATCTAACATAGGTCTGTTCAAGATTTCAATGAAGTTCGACAATCTCTACAACTTTATACTTTCAAGTAGATAAAAATGTTGATTTATCTCTGAACATTATATCTACTATTACTATTCAGTTACTTGATAGCTCCATTACTATTGATAATTCAAATAAACTGTCACTCCCAAATTGAACAGTGACTACATTATAAGAACACTATAAAGATTTTCTTGTTAATTGATATAATACGATTAAAAATATAATGTGCTTTTATTCAAATGACTCAACAAATCAACTGGAGTTGTTTTTTGTCAATTCTAAGTGTATTTACATCAACATGATATGAAAATCGTATTCACCTCATACTTTTTTGTGTACACAAAACACACTAAAAAACAAGTCGAATACATTCATGATTTATCTCATGATTTTACTCCATATGATTTCAGTGATGCATTTCTTTTACTAAATAGTAATAGTCATAGTATTAAAGCATCCAAAAATATTGGTTGTATATTTTAATAGTTGACGAGTCTATCGAAGCTGGACTACCATTGAAAACCTGGGAGCTGTTTCTTTTTAGTATGGGACTCCTCAGCAGTGCACATCCGCGATCCCTCACGCGGGACTTGTGGAGTCTCATACTAGGACGAAACGGTCATCCAGTGCTTTCAGGTTTCCAATGGTGGTCTAGCTTAGATCGATTCGTGAATTCAACTGTTATAACGCTGCAATCTCCTAAAATCTCCATACTGATGATTATATATTTCCCAATTATAACTTTAACATTACTAATTACAACTGTGAAGTGATCGTAATTACAACCATTTCAATTTATATAAAAAACTTATTAAAAAAATCTAAATGACTACGTTGTTAAAATTCTGTTTAATGTTGAACACTTAGGGGGTAATCAGTAGGAATCATTGGACCTATAGTCTAACACTAGTTGCAACTCGCCAACTATGATTATCTACAATATTGAACGAAACTAATTTGTTACCCATAAGATTCAATGTTTGGCCACTTTGCATTATATATCACTGATTATTGATGTGTTTGAGAGGAGATTTACGTCCTGTAGAACTGAGATAATATTATTTTGATTATTCAATGAATAAAATCAATTATAAGAGTGCGACTGTATAAATTTGCAACGCACATTAAATACTATCTAGGTGATTATTCGTTATACAGTTAAACCATCAATATAGTTACGGAAATAACCAAGAAGACAGTTGGAACTATACTTTAGTCATATCAGTAGACGGTGTTATGTGCCTTGAATTACAATCGGTGTAAACGTGTAATTCTCGTTTTTTATTTTCAATGAATCATCAGTATGCTGTATACAAGATTGACTATCATCATTGAATGTTAATTATTGAGAAAATTATTCAAGATACATTTTTCGTTTATTGATTACAATGTGTATGTTATAAAATTCGATAACTTTACAATGTGTTATATCACTATTATACTTTCAAAGAAGAGTTGCCTGGCTGTATTTATTCTTGTGTAATCACTTCATAATATACTTAATTTTGTTCCAGGGTCACCCATGAAATGTTTACTTCTCACAACATTCTCATCTACTGACTTGCTTCACCGATTTTCATTAAAATGTCTTAATCATATCTTTATTTTTCAGAATTAGGATCAATAGCTATCAGGTTTTCAAATAATTTATATACCATACATTTCTCCTACAAATTATGCGTTGTCATGAACATTTGAAGGGAATTTACTGTTAAGAATAAAGAAAAACTACTGAATATGTTCAGTGTTGTTCCCTTTATGCAATCAATAATCTGCAGTTTTTTAAGAGATATTAATTGCGCGGAGCATTTGTTTTTCATTATCTCTAAATATTTTTATGAAATTGTAACCAGAAATGGATGCTAGCTAGTAGTGGAGTCCCACAATAGGACAAAATGGCCGTCCAGTACTTACTGGTTTTCCATGGTAGTCTAGCTTCAATTGACTCATGATCTCAACTATCGAAACTACTACAATCTTCACAAAACCCCATCTGATACTAAAATGTTTTTGTTACAATAATTAAAGGTCATAGAGGTGTAAAAATAATTATGGTTATATGATGAGTATTTATGAATAAAATAATGAGAATATAAGAAATAAGTAAAGAGATCCCTTCGCTGAACTTCGTGTTTTTAATTTTTAATGTTTAAATGGGAATTATCTGCCAGTTCATTATAAGACGAATGGAAAAATTAATCAATCAGTTAATTATTGAAGGTAATTGCACAAGTACATTAGTGTAAATGTTCATTTGCTTAGATAAGTGCATAGAGGGAATTAAGGGACTATACAAACTTTTTTTGACATTATAAATCAAGGCTATATAATATTCATTTCTATAATATCCGCTATCTAGAAAAGAACAGGTTGGATCGGAACTCAATTAATATCCCAAACCTTCTTGAGGTCAGTCACAACTCGAAAAGCTCAGTAGTTAATGTCTCAGACTCTAAAGCTGGATAATGTATGTTCGAATCCTACCGGGATCACTAGCTCCTTCGACATTGGTTGCAAGTATATCTTACTGACGAATGCCAATAACCATAAACCGATAGGTCATGAGTGCCTTGTTATCTACTCATATTAAAAATGTATACTAAAAGACTGTAATTTGGTCACATTCATTTTAGTATGTTGTTTTACTGATTCTTATATCAAGCTCAAGTAAATATTATGAGTGGTTCGGAAAATGACATTCCACCATAAAATTATTTGTTAACAGTAATCGTTGCCAAGATAATGAAAAAATATTCGCTGTACATGACTAAATTATGATTCAAACAAATCCCATTATATTCTAAAGGCTTAACAATTTGCCAAAAATTTGAGATAAACTGTCGTAGATATCCTGATTCAAATGGATCACAGATTTTGTTTAAAGGATATTAAATTGAAAATCTCAGCTACTAAGATGTAAATAACTCAAACGTTTTGAATGGCAGTCTGGTTGGAACTTCTTTAACGAAGTAATAAAAAATCAAAATTACCGAATGTAAATATTATTCACAAAACAATCATGCACTAAACAGATTGTCTGATCGTGTGTAGGTGATGATTATCCATTTTTAACGTGTGAATAGGTCACTTTTCAAATTTTAATGACTGAAGTGATGAATGCATTTGTATGCAGATCTAATATGAGAAAACCATCGATCATACATATCCTCATGCCATTCTCGAGCGAAAATTAGTCATTCATTAAAATCATGAACCTCGATCATTCGACGATTTTGTTCGACCATCTTCCATTGTCTTCGCAGATGCGCACTGCTGAGGAGTCTCATACTAGGACGAAACGGTCGTCCATTGGTTCCATTTCTTGAATAGTGATTTAACCTAGATAGGATCATAATTTCACTGAAAGTCAACAATGTTCACAGCCTCATACTGATAAATTAGTCTGACTGATACTCACAAATCAAATTTTTGAAGTAAATACGTGTGCTGAGAATAGATAAATGTGCCGTCATGTTAAACTAGCTGGTTGTTCGATGCGCGACTGGCTAAAATGGATTCGTCTACATAGTTGTTTTCTACATGAAATTCGATGAAGAAATAGTACTAGGTTAAATTTCTGTTTACTCATCAATCAGTACATACTACCATGTAGCTAATTAGACTCTATCCCGTCTATTTAAATTATTTGAGTCTGCTCAAATATGCCAGGCTACGGCTGTTATTTTTTGCCTATGAGAACCAAAAGTCTTGAAGTATTTCATTACATCCAAGTTCAATTATGTGTCATGTTTCCACAACATTTAACTCTGTCACCGATTTATTTTCACGTTTCCTTAAAATCTAGGAATATGCTTCGAACATAGTTTTCCCTCCTTCATCCTCACATTTAACTGTTACGAAGCCTTATCTACAGTATACAGCACTGTACTTAGTGTGTTTGGTTTCACTGACACACTTCTGTTTTCTTAGTACTGTGTCTTTGACCGCTATGAACATAGAACTAAGAGTATCTATTGTACGTTCGGAAAAATGCTCTGTTATTAATGTTAGGTTTAGGATCCTTCTAAGTTGTTTCAAAGCTCTTTTGTGGTAATATGAGGTAATTACTACGTTAATCCATTCTTTTGTTTGGTCTTTTTTTCTCAGTCTCTCCAAGAAACATTTTGAAGGACTCTGTGTAGAAATCAAAGTAAATAAATACCGAGCTAAATTGAACAACAATAACCTTCATTCTAGTTCAGTAATTCCTCAAAGCCTTCAACCATTCTACATTTTACGGGTGACCGAAAATCCATCATAATATATTTTTTTGAAAGCACTTTCTAACGGTTGTCAAAGTTTACATAATTCAGCTGAAAAGCTTATCTGCGAATATAGTAATTTTCAGTTTTCATTCACTATAATATTTAAAAAAGATAAAGTATCCTTTGATTGTGAAAATTACAGCAGATTTCGTAGTTCATATTACACTTACTAAAATCGCCTCATTATGTATAACTGAAACTTTGAGCAAAGATATTTACGTGATAATTTGCATATCTGAACTAACTTTAATTACACACACTGCCGATTTTTTAAATATTTGTGAGATAGTTGCAGTTAATATTTTGATGCCATAAAATTTTAATTATCAAGATGTCATATGATCACAGTGTATTTTTTCATAATTATTCTTTCATTATAAGCGGTCCAATTCTCTAGGGAATATATTTAGCAATACTTTCTTGTCTAGTTGCTCATTAATTTTGCACATTAAGTAATACTGTCTACTTAAGTTTTAATAAACAGCCAATAAATATTGGGGGAATTTCAATTGTTGAAATCATGAGTCAGTTGAAGCTAGACTACAATGGAAAACCTGGAAGCACTGGACGGCCGTTTCGTCCTAGTATGGGACTCCTCAGCAGTGTGCGCCCACGATCCCGCCCCCCGCGGAATTCGAACCCATTGTTCAATAACTGTGATCATTGATTGGAGAGATTGAGTGACATGATCAAAGAATCAGTCATACTTATGATCAAAATGCATTCATTTTTCACCCTCTTCTTGCTGATGACTTACAGTATTCCATTACGCATGTCTTTACGTTTCATTTCATTCTCAAACTATATTTTTAATGTTTAATCTTCCTTAGTATCATTGCTACTACAATTGTATCAACGCGTGTTGTACTTAGTGTGCTAATTTCATTTCGAGTCTACTGGTAGTACTTACTTACACCTGTTACCCCTCGTGGGGGGCATTCTCCACGGAACTCTGTCCTGGGCAACCTTTTTCAGTCGGTATTCATCATTCTGATGTCTGCTTCCGATTCTCGACGCAGTGTATCCTTTGACCTTCCATCTTTATGTTCCCCTTCAAGATTCCAAGTTAGGGCTTGCCTCTTAATACAGTTTGGTAATTTCCTATCCATTCCTAACGTCTTTTTCTAATTTCCTCTTCAGTTGGAAGCTGGTTTGTTCCTCACATAGTAGGCTGTTGCTGACAGTATGCGATCAACGGACATTGAGTATCTTGCGTAGATAACTGCTTATAAATACTTGTGCGTTTTTGATGATGGTTATGATAGTTCTCCAAGTTTCAGCTCTGTGCAATGGAACTGTCTCCACGTTCGCATCGAAGATTGTGACTTTGATATTGGTTGACAATTGTTTAGAGTCCCATGTGTTCTTCAACTGTAGGAGTGCTGTCCTTGTTTTGACAACCATTGTCCTTATATATGCATCGGATCCTCCCTGTTCATTGATGATGCTACCCAGATACGTGAAACATTCCACCTCTTTCAGAATTTCTCTATCATGTGGGCTTGGGTTGGCGTTCTCCGTGTTGTGTTTGAAGATCTTGCTTTTTCCTTTGTGTATGTTGAGGCTTACTGGTACAGAGGATTCCGCCACATTGGCTGTCTTGTGCATTTGCTTGTGCGTTTGTTATGGAAGGTCTAGAATGATGTTGACGATTGTCTCAGGTACACTATGGTGTCGAAGAAAGTTCCATAAGGTTCTCCTTTTACTGATATAGGTAATGTTTATCTCAGTTGACATTCAAACTAAATGTGAATGATATTGTTGATTTTTTTAAGAAAAGGCAATGTATTACTCGGTCATTTTCAAAAAACCAATAATACAGTTCGATCATTTTATTTTTCAATCAATGAAGTTATTATTTATTCGGATGCATAAATATTGGTAAAAAGGGCCACTGAATACATATGCACCACCCAAGTTACTTGATTTGTGTATGGGCTGTGATACTGCCCGGGTGCCCTGATCGAAGCAGATGACTTCCTTAGAGTGCCACACCCGGATCCTTCGACTTAAAGATCTGGTCCACAAGGTACTGGAGCAACGTCAGGAGATACAGTCCCATGTTAGCTGGTGACCGATAATTGTTTCATACACCATTTATTCATAAAAACTTTAATTCATTCTCGGTTTATTTCAATTTTTTATCGAAATGAAACAACAAAGCAATATAACAATGCATAAGTTTCACTTCAGCTTCAATGCAAGTTGACATTTCAAGTAAAAAAAACTTATGTAATTTGTATAGTTTAATTTTTACTTAAAATTAGACTGTAAACTATAGAAGGGAAATTTTATGCGTTGTTCCTTATCGATTTATTTCTGTATTTCATTTTGACAAATGCTCTGAAGTGCTTTTCATTAATTTCAGAATACATTAATGCTTTTTTCTTGTAAACGATATTTACATGTTTTATTATCTACTTTCCCCCCCACTTTTCACACAATCAGTTCATTAAAATAAAAACACGGCTTGTTATTCACTTGAGTTCGAGTTTGTTGCAGGAAATTCAGACGATTTTTGTCTACATTCCTTGTTTCTTTTCTGGATAATGAAGTTTGTGTTAACCGGTTGTTATGTATAGCTAATTCAATAATCAATTTTTGACCACAAGATGTATGTAGTGTTTTGTTTCATCTTTTAACATTCGGTTCAAATAATTTTCAAACTGAAAATAGTTCGTGTCTTGGGTTTGACTTTAGATAAATAAGTATTGGAATAGTATCTTTAAAGCATTTCTTATGTATGATGATTACATACTATTGGCAATGTTAAGGTTAGATGCACAATACACATATTGTTCTCTCAATATACAACCACAACTTAGATCGTCTAGATGCAATAATTTCATTTTGCATAATTGTTTTTCTTATTTTTTAAAATGCTAGAATAAATTGTATTAAACGAAATCATTTCATCATCACAATTCGTTCATTAAGAGTACTCCAAATAAATAGTTTTATCGTTATTAGATCTATCTTATCAATATTAGTATTGCGACATTAAATAGATAACACAGATTTTTTCAGTTGAGTTTGTTTAATTATTCTGTTTATTATTTGAATACGAAATCAGTTAAATATCACTTAAAATAATACATAAATTGTGGTGTACGCTACTTGTGTCGACAGATATAAGTAGTATATAACACCATTCGGAAGTGAGACGCATGGCAGCAGAAAGCTAAGACAATCGAAGTGAATAAAACAGAAACGGAGTTAGAAAGGAATTGTGAATTGGAAGAATCATACAGAGTGTAAAGAATAGTTGATGGAATATTTGTAAATGTAGTATTTTATGTATGGTTCTTTTGTTCTACTGGGATACGCTGTAATTTTGTATTAAAATGCATTTAGTCGTCCCCGCCTTTTTTTCGTTCACTACAAAACCAATTCTTAGAACTATTCATTATTGAACCAATCAGTTATAATCTCGAATCTTACCCCATGTAATTTGCTTTGAACATTATAGTGATACATCTATCTTTTATCCAATATATATGAGTCTAATAAACATATATTTGATTACTCAATAACCTACCATAGTTAGTTCATTTTAAAAATAGTCCTTTGTCGATTAAAGCACTCGGGTAGTGATCTAGTAATTTATATCATAAGTAGTAATTCAATGATAGGTCTTTTATTTACACTCCCCTCTTCATCTACTTCTAGGCAGTCAGAGTATCTTGAGGCGGCCTGCTTGAGCATCTGGACTACCTGTTCCTGCCATCTAGACATTTCAACAAGTTATCTATTTTTGTTTGTTTTAATATATCATTATGTCTATTAATCGCATAAGCTATCCTGGTGCATTTCTGAAAAGTGTACAACCTTTCGTTGTCAAAGTTAGAAAAGCCCAATAAGAGATAATGTGGTCACTGGCAATATGCAGATAAAAGAATATACATTATTCAGATGTTCATTTACTGGACTGCTAACATCTAACTGGCGATCACTCAATATTTATCGTCAGGATCGACCAAGAAGTACGAAACAGAAACTTGTTGAAATACTTTGTGCTGAGAATCCTATATTGTACCAATAATATAATATTGAATAAAGCCTTTAATAATAATAATAATAAATCTCAAACTAAGTACGTGACCGAATACATAAACCTATACTCAATTTGTGATGGACAACATAAGATTTATCCGACTAATGCTTGTACACGCATATCTTATGGTTAATTATTTTCTTTTCAAATAATTTCTTGTTTGTTTTTCTCGATTCTAGTTGTTTGCTCCATTCAACATTGTAACAGTTATTGTTCGTTTAGAAATTTGGGAACAGGATCGTGTTAGTTTAAAAGTTGAAGAACATCATCTGCTCACTGCATTAGCTCAGTTTAAACGAATGTATGCTAATGTGCGTCATGATTGCTTGCATGCTCTATTGTAAGTTAGTATTCTATCATTTAGTTGTGTTTTTGTTACTGTTTCATATGGTGACCAATGCAATGATTATTAAATATTTATGTAAAATATCAGTTAGTCAGCCAATCAATCAATAGGCAATGTAGAACCTGACACGTATGTACTTCAGTTCAAGTTTCCATCACTTTGTCATAATAACTAGATGAAATTATCATGACCAATTCCAGAGTAGGTGAATTAGTTATGTAGTGTATGCTACTTGTGTCGACAGACATAAGTGTGGAAAATTTACAAGTGAAGTATTTTATATATGGTTCTTACATTCTACCGGGATATTCTGTAATTTTGTAATAAAATCCATTGGTTGTGTTCTCGTTCATTACAGTTACAATATCACTAGTAGTAAAAGAGACTAAGTATTTACAATACAGTTTAGAAAGAAGAGTGGATTTGTTTAATAAAACAAATATAAAATGGTTTCAAAGCTGGAAATCTAAGAGAAAACTACTAATTCATACATCTAAGTCATTGTGACAGATTCTCAGTCATCTCACACGAAAATCTCCAATAATTAGTTAAAATTATCGCTCGAATTACTTGAAGCTTATACATTCACCAGGATCTGTAACGTCTTTTTTTATTCGTAGCATTGAATAAATCTGAACGGGAAATTCCACCCTAAGCTAAAAAAACTTTGACCATATCTGTTAGTCATTGAAAACTAGTTTTGCACATTTGGTTGCCTCAATATTGCCTTAAGTCACAAGCATTATAAATAAACATGGATGGTGGCTAGCAGCGGGATCCAGGATGCGTGTTTCATCCCACTTGGGGCTCGTCAGCTGGATGTACCCGCATCCCCATTACACAAGCAATTGGTTGTCAGGACTTGGTAGCTAAGTGGATAAAGCGATGGCGTTTGAAGCGGACGGTTCTGGGTTCGAGTCCAGGAGTGAACATCAACTTTGGGATGCAGGTACATCCATCTGACGAGCCCCAGGTAAGACGAGACGCGCATCCTGGATTCCACCACTAACTACTATCCATCTTTGCTTATAGTTTTATACAGATCAATCTGATGTATTGATAAATAGTAGTTACTACTGTGACATGATTAATTCTAATATCCAAATGGTAATGTAATTTTTCATCACATGTATGCATAATTTTATCAACCAATTTATATGTGAATATTTTTGTTCATTAAAGCTTTATCTGTACAGATGAGTCATCTCAGTAGTGTGTTATCAGTAACACCTATTATTATTATTATTGTTATTGTTATTATTATTATTATTATTATTCGAAATTTTAGCATTATTTCTAAAAATCCAATCATACTTATATATATCTATCTGAAATGAACTATTTTATTGCAAGACAGACTAAACAACAAACACTACAGCACATTATTATTATTGTTGCTAATTATAAGTACCTGTATAAAAAAAAATACTTCTATTCAACTCGTTTAATCAGTAGATGTTGTCTAGAATAAAAAATGTAAACTTTGACGTACTATTTTATGACATCAAATAGGACTTCCGATTTCTTGCACCATAGTTAATGACTTGTGTTTCAAACTGACATTACAATAGTTGAACGTCGATTACACTCTCAAACCACTTGACCATTATGTCGTATTATTCAAATAATTATAACGTGATAATACTTTTAAACTAACCACTCATTTTGATAAGCTTTTCAAAATCCCATACGACTTGATATTAGTAAAAATGATAAGGTTTGAATACTTCCGTGAAAATTATTCATTTAACAGATGTCTCTAAGTTATACATTCCTTAAATATGCTTTCTAGACTGAATACAAAATTTCTGTTATGTCCTATGGCCTATGGCCCTGTCAATTATCACGTGATGAAACTTCCAATCAGTATACCGATTTATATGACCTTGTCTCTGTGCTAAATCAATGACACGTCAACCAGCACTAGCAGTCTTGTGTCAACTCTGAATCCTTATTGATCCTCTGTATTAGTAACTTCTTGCCTAGCCTAGCCCGCTCAGTCCAGAACACAAATATCAGCCTCCGCTGTGTGAATCGTATATTTCAATTACGCGAAATATGCAAGCAGGCCAGACTGCATCACACCATAAAATGAAGAATAGTTATACTAGATCAAATTAAAAGTGTCTGAGTGTGAGTGACTGTAACTAATGGTAAACCGTCTAATAGTAGCCAATAAGTCAAATAAAAGCTTATAACAAGAGGTATATATATAGAATGACAATCCATAAATAGGTTTTAGAAATTATCCCTGCTTCGGTCTGGGCACCCGGGCAGTATCACAGCCCACACCCAAATGATGAACTCTCTATATCTATGGAAACTACTTTTCTCGCTTCGAAAAACAGTCAAATGATTCAAAGTATTGTCATTACTATTATTGTCATTATTATTATTATTATTATTACTATTACTATTATTATTATTATTATTATTATTATTATTATTATTATTATTATTATTATTTACCACATTATTCACCCTCTTTTATACTTATACAGCGGCTCGTCTTTGGTGGAAATTCGACTGTATCTAAACGTTCTCGAGTCACTGTCCGGTTGAAAATTGTATGTTACCACCGAATATGAGTACTGAAGCAGTTTTTCTGAAACCACGTGCACCATTCAAACTGGCTGCCTTCAACGTTCGCACATTTATGCAGGTCGGACAACAGATAGGGCTGGCTATGTCTTTGGAAAGTCTTAATATTGATGTTTGCTGTCTATCCGAGACCCGTATTCAAGACTCTGGCGAAGTACTACAAATTCGATCTCCATCTGTCGCTTCGAAAAGCTTGTTTTACGTGCGCTTATCCGGGGACCCTGTGGCATCTTCGTCTGGTCTTGCTGGCGTTGGTGTCGCACTAAGCGCTAGAGCTGAGGCAGCACTAGTCGATTGGATCCCCATTAACAGTCGGTTATGTGCTGTTAGATTAGAAAGTTCCATCAAAGTGAGAAGAAATCGGCGTGAGAAACGATGTCTTTTCGTCATCTCCGCCTATGCCCCGACAGATTGCAGCCCGGATGCAATCAAGGATGAGTTTTACCACCAGTTATCTGTTCTTCTCCAGAAAGTGCGTTCGACAGATATTGTAGTACTAGCCGGAGACTTGAATGCTCAGGTCGGGCGTCTAGGCACAGAAGAGAGTCGTTTAGGTGGCCGATGGGGACTCGTTGGTCGCAGGTCAGATAACGGGGACCGTCTACTGCAACTTTGCACAGACCACAACCTGTTTCTGGCTAGCACTAACTTTCGGCACAGTCATCGCCGATGTGCCACCTGGCGTCCTCCCTCTGCATCTCAAGCCTGGACTCAGATTGATCACATCGCGATCAGCTACCGCTGGCGTGGTTGTGTACAAGACTGCCGCTCCTTTTGGAGTACCTATCTGGACTCTGACCATGCCTTGGTCTGCGCCAATCTTGCCTTACTTTTCAGTGGACAACGAAGTGACCGCCATCAACGGATTGATGTTAGCAAGTTGGTTGCAAGTAAGTATCGAACCGAGCTAGCCTCTAGGCTAGCTACCACTCCACCGAAAAGTATAGATGAGCATTGGTTGCAATTGCATGACGCCATGAAAATGGCGGGAACAGTCAGTTGTGGGTTTGCGAAACGTCCCGCTTTAAGCACTGGGTTTCTTCTGGTTCCTTACAACTCATCGAAACCGGGTGACCGTGAGTTTGACCATAAACGAAGGATGTTACGTAAGGAAATTGGGCAAAGCTTGCGTAAGGACCGAGAAGCCTGGTGGTCGGAGCGTGCTAATGAGCTGGAAGCAGCAGCTGCATCTGGTAACTACCGGAAGCTCTTCCAACTCATCCGAGCCACTGGCAGCAAGAAGTCTGGTGTGAGTGAAACAATCTGCGAGGATGATGGGATGCCAATCACTAACATCCATCGACGTCTTGGACGATGGGCAGAATTTTTCGAAGGGCAGTTCAACTGGCCTGCTGCTCCGGCAACATCGGTCAGACTGTCCTGCCCTCCATGGCCGGTGACGACTGATCCACCAAACGAGGAGGAAGTCCGCAAGGAACTCCAACTCTTGAAGCGTTACAAATCACCTGGCCCAGATGACTTACCTCCGGCTCTTTTTAAAGATGGTGGTGACTTTTTGACTAAGGAATTGACGACGTTGTTTACAAAGGTTTGGGAACTAGAGAGTGTACCAACGTCATGGAATGAGTCGATAGTTGTCCCTATCTTTAAAAAGGGTTCACGTCGTTCTGTAACAACTATCGGGGGATAAGTCTACTTCCGATTGCGTCCAAGCTATTGGCTTCCGTCATACTTCGTAGGTTGTTCAAAACCCGAGAAAGATTGACTCGCGAGGAGCAGGCTGGGTTTCGTTCTGGTCGAGGATGTATTGATCATATCTTCACCCTCCGCCAAATGTTAGAACACCGCCATACTTATCAAAGGCCAACAATCGTAGTGTTTCTTGACATCAGGGCTGCCTTCGATTCGTTGGACAGGACTGTTCTCTGGGATTGTCTATTGAAGAAGGGTGTGCCTGAGAAGTTTATTAACATCCTAAAAGCCCTATATAAAAACACCTCAGGCAGAGTGAGGGCATACAACCACCTCTCTCCATTGTTCCATTCGAGCAGTGGGGTTAGGCAGGGTTGCCCAATCTCACCATTCCTCTTCAACTTTGCCATCGATGACATTCTGGAAACAGCTCTGATGAATGTAAGTAATGGTGGTGTGGATCTGTTGCCTGGAGAAAGACTTCTCGACCTTGAGTATGCGGACGATATTGTCTTACTGTGCGATAATGCCCAAGGCATGCAATCCGCACTTAATCAGTTGGCAATCAGTGTCCGTAGGTATGGTATGTGCTTTGCACCTTCGAAGTGCAAAGTACTTCTACAAGACTGGCAGGATTCTAATCCTGTACTCACCCTGGATGGTGAGCAGATAGACGTAGTCGAGAAGTTCGTGTATCTGGGTAGCTGCATAAGTGCTGGTGGGGGTGTGAGTGATGAGATCAATGCACGTATAGTGAAAGCCAGAGCGGCTTATGCCAATCTGGGCCATCTTTGGCGCCTTCGTGATGTTAGTCTGGCTGTCTACAACGCGTCGGTGAGAGCAGTTTTGCTCTATGCTTGTGAAACCTGGCCTCCGAGTTGAGGACGTTAGACGACTCTCTGTGTTCGATCATCGCTGTCTCCGAAGGATTGCTGACATTCAGTGGCAACACCATGTCAGTAATGCAGAGGTTCGGCATCGTGTGTTCGGGCACAGAGACGATAATGCAATTGGTGTCACCATCTTGAAACACCGACTTCGGTGGCTTGGACATGTTCTCCGAATGTCGTCCCAGAGAATTCCACGTCGTGCATTATTTGCCGACTCTGGGACTGGTTGGAAGAAGCGGAGAGGTGGTCAGTGCATGACATGGTGTCGTGGTATGAAAGAAAGCTGCAAAGGACTGGCTTGTGTTGGTCCTTCACGACTCCCTGGTTGAGGTTCTAGAGATGGTGCTACACAGTGGCTAGAGACGTTATCAGATATGGCTCAGAATAGAAGCCAGTGGCGATCCTGCTGTAACCTTCTTTTACTTTCTTCATAAAAAGTGGTTGTGTCTCCTTACCTGAAAGATTTCTTCCGATTGTACCTTTCCGTCCCCTCATTACTACCACACTACCTTACACCAATCTCTTCGTTATTGTTCTCCTTTTTTGCGCTCCTTAGTTTTTTTTTCTATTTCTCTTCGAATTCTCATTGTTTTGTGTGGCGCGTATATATTGGCGTTCTCTTGTTCCAATATTTATGTGTTCAAATAATAAATAAATTTAGAAATTATCCATAATTTAATCTTATTCAGATACAATGTCAGTCATCAAACCCTCCTTATTTAAATAATACAAATTCGTCTCAACTAATCAGTTCTTTTTTAGTGAATGATGAGAATCAATATTCAATCTAATTAACATCACACATTACTGGTTAAACAAATAACCATTTGACCTTATTACAATTTAAAATACAATTGTTATTGATTATTGAACAAAATAAACACACGTTCATACCTGTTTCATTCAGCCTAAATAAGTGTAGATAAAGTTTGCCGAAGTGAATATGTGTCAGTAAGATGCTAATGAAACTGTCGTCTAATGCTATTATCATTATTATTACTACTAATACTAAATCCCATTATGGTAATAGTGTAGTGGACGCTACTCACAAGACTGTCTGTAAGTATTGTGTAGCGGAACAGAACGTCGAAGTTGTTATAATTATCAGATGAAGTGAAGAGTTTCGGAGCGGCGAAAGCATGGCGTTGGCAGAACACTTGAAGACCAGATGAGAAGACATAACACATAAGAGAACACACTGAATGATGCAAATTTATAATGTATTAATTAAATACTTTGTAACTTCTTACAATAAGTATATTCTTCGTGTCCATTGTCGTGTAGTACAATAGTAATTAATGCCTAAACGATAATGACTACAACCACTTTGCATAACTTCAACGTACGAGGAGTTTTATCTATTGATTAATTAGAAACCGCCCAAACTAATGTGTCATCTATGACACATGTTGTTGTTATATCTCTTTACAATCTAATAGTATAAATACGAGTTAACTTATTTGTTTAAACTTTGACGTGAATTCACATTTTTCCTTTAAAAATCTTTTCATTTCTGGTTTCTTCTTTTCCTTATACAAACAAAAAATGACCTGACAACATAGAGGTACAAAAGAACAAGGCTCACGAACACGTGGAAAAGCTAATCATATGACCATGTGTATTTATTCGCGTTGTGTTGGTTACAGTAGAGTAAGTTTGGACAAAATTTTTCATTATTCTTCTAATAATTGTTTAATTAATGATTAATTAACTGAGTAATTCTCTGAATTTTCAGTTCATCAGTTGGTTATCATATTAGTCATGTTTGCTGACTGAGTCATATAATGTACTGGTATTTGCTGCTGTTATTAGACATGATGATCTATCGTGATGCATTCAATTGATTAACAAGTTCACTAATCCTTACAACTAGGTTATTTTATGTCCTCGACCTTCTTTCAATGACTCATTCTCATCATATGGTCTGTAGTATTTATATGTATGTCTTTGAACATTTTGTAATTTGAATCACACGAAATGATCATAGTTAGACAACCCTTGAAAATGAGGAAATATTGAAAAGTTGTTTCGTCTTAGTACGAGACTCTTCAGCAATGAGTATTTAAAATCCCACTAAAGAGCTTCTTGATTTTCAACGGGTCGCTAGAGAATGTAGATGCATAATGTAGACTGCGAAATTCCAAAATCTTTTTAGACCAATTACATTATAATATAAACTTATCAAAACCACTAAAATTGCCTTTATTTATTACCTTACTTTTTCAAGGAGATTTTATGCAGCTTAGAGATAATGTTCTCATTATAAAAAGAATGAAGCTGTTTTAGTTTACTTTGGTAAAGCTCACAATCTTATAAGAGATTGTACCCATAATTTTTTAGTCTCTCAACCATCGCAATACTTCTAAAGAAGAGTTAACTAACCGATTTCATAGTTAATTAATTACTGCCCCACTTTATTTCTTCACAGTTTACAGCTTATTATTAGAACCTTGAAAGTTCCATCATGATAATACGTTTGCAAAACAAAAAAAACTGACAATTGTGTTGATTGTGACCAAAAGTAAATAAATAAAATATTTTATCTAGAAATAAAAATATGGATATTTTATCTACTCATTTTTCGTTGTTGTTGTATGTATTTATTTAGGTATCACCAACACTTGATATTATTGAAACAGCTCGCACTATCGCACATGAACTTGGACATAATTTCGGTTTAAGACATGATACTGAAGAATGTGAATGTCAAGGTTGTATAATGGCTACTGGTGTAGAGTAAGTACTATTCATTGGTGAATTATATTTGTCTATTTTTGATTAATAAATTGCACTTGAAGTTCCTCCACTTGACAGCTGTTGTCGGTTGTTGAAAACTTCGTCTGATATGGCTCAAAAATCGCTAGCGATAGAACAGATGCCATTCAGCCCTTATCTTTCTTTCCATTTTGAATTCCAGTATCCCATCATACATACTTTTCACCATGTCTTTTCAAGTCATATTCTCAAGGCTTATCTTTCATTTTATCATTGCTACTACATTATTTCCATCAATTTTGTTGTTTTTGTCTCGTCGTGCCCATGTCTGTTTGTCAGCGTCGATGTTCATATTATAACTTGAAACCACTACTTACGTCTGCAAACATCAACGCGTTATCCACTAGGCTACTGAGTCTACTAACTGGTTCGTTGGGTATGAATTTATATGTAAGAGTGCGTTTTTAATATACAAAACAGTTTGTGACTATCTGAGCTCAGTAGCCTAACCGATAACGTTTGATAAACGAAAGCAATAGTCCTGAGTTATCAAACAACCCATATGACAATGTAGAAATTAGTTAATGGAAGTCCTGAATATAAACAATAGGAAATTACACAACCTTACTACTTGAAAGATTCCCAAGTCAACAATTCAAAGTGTCAACACTATGCTGATCGTTGTCACTGTCTTTCGTATTATTGTCTCAGAAAACTTTTTCGTTGATTTTTTTTCTTTGATAAGTTAATTTACAGGAATTAAAAATCAGTATTTTGACATAATTATAAACTGTCAACTTTTCTTAATAACGTGTTTTGTTTACAGATTTGCGTTTTATTTACATTGCGCTATTTCTTGTCAAGATCACAGACATACTTGTTTTCATATTGTATTTGATTTCCTCCTTAATGTCCATCGACTTATTTGGTTGTTCGAATGAATAACTGTCTTATTAGACAACTTAGTATATCTTAGGTTTTTATACCACCACAAAAATATCGTCCCTTCTTGTTATCTTCAGAGAAAAAGAAAGAAATTTCTTATAGACCCTTACTTATGCATGTGTGTGCTTTCCAAATTCACTATTAGCATGCCCACATATGAAGTCTAAATATGAATGCCTAAATGATGGTTGGTTGTAATTGTTTACCTATTATGACGCTCTTAAGTCATAATAATCATATTTTCACAAACATGTAAGTATCACGTGGTTTCCAAGGTTACTTTTTCTGACAACAATGTCCATGATTATGATCATGATAGAGAGATTACAAACATTCTTTGTATTGGCTAAGTTCGGTTTATGTTTTTGGTGAAATAAATAACGCTAAAGGTGTTATTCGCTTCGATTTGATAGTTCCTTTGTGAAGTATATCGACTCATTATTAGTTCATTTTGATCATTTGCTAGATAGAGACACTTTCGAGGATATATTCTTTTTATCATGGACTGATATCCATTGTAATATATCTGAAAATAAACGAACATTAGGCCGATATATTATTCAAGAGTAGGAATTTAGAGGTATTTATTGAAACTAAGAACACAACCACCAGTAGTCATTACGCTCATCCTGAAGTTGCTTTTTGTTGTTCGTTATGAACAAATTGTTAATAGTTTCCACTTCGAGATCCACTTGACAATATGTAAATATATGGTTATGGAGATTGTTCAGTTTCAAAGAAACCTTGAGTCGATCAATATTACATTACCATTGAAAATCCAGAAACACCGGATTGCCGCTTCGTCCTGGTATAGGATTCCTCAGTAGTTCACATTTACTTCCCACTCAAGAATCGAACATTAATTGGCTCATTATTTCATTGTAACTCAACAGTCAACAGTCTGCAAAACCCTATACCTCTAAAATCAATTTCTGATTGATTCAAACATGAATTTATATACCTAAGCTTGGATTATAGAAATCATACGAAGTTGTGTAAGATATCACAATTGAATATCGTATCCATTTGAATTTTCTGAAAAATTGATTATAATAGAGGCAAAGGATTTTAAATAAATGATCTCGCAGATAAATGAATGAATATTGTACCTGATACGTCTTCTGATTGAACGCTACTTGTTATCTCTGGTCGTCGCTGATTGTTACGTCGGAATCACCTATTACGACGCGAAAGTTAAAACAAGAAGACTGGTACAAATGAATTTTTTTAGCCCCAAACGCGACGACGACCCTAGTCGAAAATACACTAATCTATATATTGGTTTGTACACCCATTTCGATTAATAATTAGGATGAAATCACACATATGAAAAATACTCATTGTTATAACAAATCATGTGCTATATGTCATGCCGATTCATAGTTCATGTCAATTTTTATTGCAAGAATGTCGTATGTTATACAGAATGAAATGTCATACGGGAAAACAGAAACAAATACTACATTGAGTAATCTTCATATTTAATTAAAACGGAAGTAACGTTGAACAAAAATCATAATGAGTAAAAGAATGTAATTTTGACTTTTGACCCGGTTATATCATGACCTATTCTGTACTTATCTATCATCAACTTTTGTTCACATTTATGAAATTACGCAACGTCTTGTATTAAGTTGTATGTTACTATTGTTACTACAGTAATCGATTTTTCAGAAAATGTCATTTAAATATGACATTTATTATTGTTACACTGTATCCGGTCTTCGTAATTTTTATTGGGTTGTTATAGTTTTGCTAAAACCCTACCGATACATGTTTACGTTGACTTTTGATTGGCTTCATTTTTACAAATTCTATTTGTAATACAGATTTTTATATATGTGACAGGCTGCTAGTAGTTGATAATCATCCAAATCTAAGTTTACCGATTGAAATCTACATCTTAAACGTGTCCAAAATTAGGACCTTGATGGAAATGTCGATTTGCTTATTTTAATTCATTTCACCCTAAGTTTTTACTACCACTGATCATGATTTTCACTCTATCCTCGACAATCCAATGTATATCTGCCATTACAGCTCAGATTAACAGTCACCGACTTCATCGATTGATTCCATTTCCCAGTTAAACTGCCTTCTTCGTTCTTTACATGTACTTACTTACTTACTTACTTACGCCTGTTACTCCTCGTGAAGGAGCATAGGCCGCTCACCAGCATTCTCCATCCAACCCTGTCCTGGGCAATCCTTTCCAGCTCCTTCCAGTTGTAATTCATCCTTTTCATATCTGCTTCTATTATCCGACGTAATGTGTTCTTTGGCCTTCCTCTTTTCCGCTTCCCTTCAGGATTCCAAGTTAGGGCTTGTCTCGTGATACAGTTTGACGATTTGCGTAATGTATGTCCTATCCATTTCCATCGTCTTTTCCTAATTTCCTCTTCAGCTGGAAGTTGGTTTGTTCTCTCCCACAGAAGGCTATTGCTGATGGTATCTGGCCAATGGATGTTGAGTATCTTGCGTAGACAGCTATTTATAAATACTTGTACTTTCTTGATTGTGGTTGTTGTAGTTCTCCAAGTTTCAGCTCCATACAGTAGAACTGCCTTGACGTTCGTATTGAAGATTCTCACTTTGATATTGGTTGAAAGTTGTTTTGAGTTCCATATGTTCTTCAATTGTAGGAATGCGACCCTTGCTTTGCCGATCCTCGCCTTTACGTCTGCATCTGAACCTCCTTGTTCATCGACGATGCTTCCCAGGTATGTGAAGGACTCTACATCTTCCAGAGTTTCGCCATCAAGAGTGATTGGATTGCTGTTCTCCGCTTTGAATTTGAGGACCTTGGTTTTCCCTTTGTGTATGCTGAGGCCTACTGATGCAGAGACTGCTGCTACACTGGCTGTCTTCATCTGCATCTGTTCGTGTGTACGTGATAGGAGGGCTAGGTCATCTGCGAAGTCCAAATCGTCTAATTGATTCTGAGCTGTCCATTGTATTCCGTGTTTTCCTTCAGATGTCGAGGTCTTCATAATCCAGTCGACCACCAGAAGAAAGAGGAAGGGAGAGAGTAAACAGCCTTGTCTGACTCCAGTCCTTACTTGGAATGCATCTGTCAGCTGTCCTCCATGCACTACTTTGCACTGTAGTCCGTCGTATGAGTTCCGGATAATATTGACAATCTTCTCAGGAACTCCGTAGTGTCGAAGAAGTTTCCATAATGTCCTCCTATCTACACTGTCGAATGCCTTTTCATAATCAATGAAGTTGATGTATAGTGATGAGTTCCACTCAACTGATTGTTCGACGATGATCCGTAGTGTTGCAATTTGGTCTGTGCACGACCGATCCTTACGGAATCCAGCTTGTTGATCTCGAAGTTGGGCGTCTACTGCATCCTTCATCCGGTTCAGCAACACTCTGTTGAAGACTTTCCCTGGTATTGACAGTAGTGTAATGCCTCTGTAGTTTTCACATTTGCTCAGATCTCCTTTCTTTGGAATCTTGACGAGGTGTCCTTCTTTCCAGTCCATTGGCACTTGTTCCTCCTCCCAAATCTTTTTGAATAGAAGGTAAGCATGCTTGTGGTTGCTTCGATGTCTGATTTCAGTGCTTCAGCTGGTATGTTGTCGGGTCCTGCTGCTTTCCCGTTCTTGATTTGTCTGACGGCCATTCTAATTTCTTCCGTCGTTGGTGGGTTGACATCTATAGGAAGATCTATGTGTGCTGCTTCGATGTCCGGTGGATTCATTGGAGCCGGCCTATTCAGGAGTTCCTCGAAGTATTCTACCCATCTGTTACGCTGTTGTTGAATTTCGGTGATTGGCTTGCCTTCTTTGTCTTTGACCGGCCTCTCTGGTTTACTGTATTTCCCTGCTAGTTTCTTCGTTGTATCGTAAAGCTGTTTCATATTTCCTTCTCTAGCAGCTTTTTCTGCCGTCGTTGCTAGTTCTTCCACGTATTTCTTCTTGTCGGCTCTAATGCTCCTCTTCACTTGTTTGTTTGCTTCTATGTATTCAGCTTGTGCTTGGACTTTCTCTGCTCGTGTTCGGCTGTTGTTAATTGCTGCCTTCTTGTTCTTCCTTTCTTTGATCTTGTCCAGTGTTTCTATAGAGATCCATTCCTTATGATGGTGTTTCTTTAGGCCCAGAACCTCTTGACACGTTGAAGTTAATGCTTCCTTGATGCCTTTCCAGTTGTCCTCCATACTAGTTTCTTCTTCTTCAGTAGATCTTGTAAGGCTTGGAACCTGTTGTTGAGAGCTATCTTGAATTCATTGAGTTTGTCAGTATCTCGAAGGAAGGCTGTATTGAACCTTTGTAGTGCTGTTTGTCCACTTGTCCAGTTCTTTTTTAGCTTCAGTTTTAAATTGGCTACAACTAGGTGGTGATCTGAAGCTACGTCAGCACCTCTCCTGGTTCTCACATCTTCCATTGTCCTTCGGAATTTTTTGTTGATGCAAATATGATCTATTTGGTTCTCTGTAGTGTGGTCCGGTGAGATCCATGTAGCCTTGTGTATACGCTTGTGTGGAAATATTGTGCCTCCTATGACTAATTTGTTGAATGCACACAAATTTGCAAATCTTTCTCCATTTTCGTTTCTTTCTCCCAGTCCATGTCGTCCCATGATATCTTCATATCCGGTGTTGTCTATTCCGACTTTGGCATTTAGATCTCCCATCAGAATAGTTAGGTCCTTTCTTGGCATTTCTCAATGATTGACTGCAGCCGCTCGTAGAACTGATCTTTAATGTCGTCGTTGCTATCATTGGTGGGTGCATAACATTGGATAATATTCATTAAGATCCCCTCCTTCTTTGTTTTGAATGATGCTTTGATGATTCTGGATCCGTGAGACTCCCATCCTACAAGTGCATTTCGTGCTACTTTGGACAGCATAAGAGCGACTCCCTGAGTGTGTGGAGCATTTTCCTCTTCGTGACCGGAGTATAGCAGCATCTCTCCCGTAGCTAGCCTTTTCTGTCCAGCTTGGGTCCAGTGGGTTTCGCTGATTCCCAGTACTGCTAAGTTGTATCTCCTCATTTCCATTGCTATTTGACTGGTCTTCCCGGTTTCCCACATTGTTCGAACGTTCCATGTACCTATAAAAATTTTTGCTCTGGTTGTTAGAAGGGGCATCGGCCTCGTGGCTTCCGAAGGAACTCGGCTTTCACCATGAAGCGTCATAATTCTTCTAACTGAAGACCTTCTAACTCCCAGGGCAGAGTTTAAATGGTTTGAATTATTTTTTCTGGTAAGCGTTTTTTTAGCGAGTTAGTTTTCTACGGGATGGGGACGCTAACCCCATGCCATGTACCCCTACAATAATCAGTAATAGACGTCAAGGTAGGCAGTGATCAGCTATATGTTACTCATATTCCCTCCAACTTCGCCGACGGTAATGCAAGGTCTCAACAACCCATTCGCCACCTCTACCTAGAACATTATGTCCAAACATAATATGAATCTCTCATTTACTCAGTTACAGCCACTCCACTCCTGAATCTGTTGTTTACATTTTTTTCCCATCAGACTGGATTACGTAAAAATAAATCTCTCCAATTTATGATATCACTCAACATTATTATTGTTTTTTTCGCTTCTCACCTCAAAGATTTGGCACAACAGTTATGAAATGGTCACCATGTTCTATAAGAGATTTACCAGGTCTACTAAACCATGGAATGGGTGTTTGTTTACATGATTTGCCTGCTAGTGGGAGTGTAACAATTAATTCTTTCGTACCAAACTCTAAAACATCTACACATAGAAAGAATAACAATAATGATAATAATAATATAAGTATTCCAAGTGTTGTACATATTTATGATTGGCAAAGTGAAGCGAAACGAATTCCAGTTAGTCGTGTATTAACTATAAGACAACGTCATTCTGCCTCATCTGTTGAGAAATATGCAAATGGATTATGTGGAAATGGGGTGTTGGATCCTGGTGAAGAATGTGATTGTGGTACACAGTAAGTTAAGCCAGGTCATTTTGTATATTATTGTTCTTTTCATTTCGTAAAAAATTATCTATATTGTTATTTAATGCAGATACATTAATCAGTCTTAATAAAGGTAAAACTTGGCACATATATTCACATGTTCAATTCGTCACATCGAATCAGCATAGCGAGTTGAGTTTCTAAAAGAGTTAATTCACACACACACCAGTCAAGGTAGTCTTTACGTACCAGCATAACTCAGTTTAGCCATCACTGACTTTACGGAGTGATACCAAGTCTTGATATGGCCTCCCCTAACTTTCTTTAAACCTACTTCTACACCATCAAACATTGTTAGTCAAGGTAAACGGTAGTTTGACAATCATTACAGATGTTCTATTCAACTTGGTCAATGAAGATTCACATCCTCATTAACCCAACTTCAACATTGCTCACTTCAGTGGATGCAAATATATCAGTATTAGTTAACAATGCTATTTAATTGTGATAACTTTATTCAGTTAGAATCATACCACTTTTCTTTTTTAGTAAAATATTTTTTGATGTATAAATTGAGTCGTGTAGTGTTTTGTGATTGTACAATGATTGCATGCATTTGTATTCAGACTTATAACGAACGCTGAGTGTTTGTTTGGATATTTTTTTTATTAAATAGTTTGATAGTTGTTTCATAATAGACTGGAAGCTGTTTAACGAAACCTTTAAAAATCAGAAAACATTATATACTTCCTTCATCCCATTTCGAAAGTACCCATCAGCATAGATCTTCCATATTATATTATATCGAGGCTAAGACTGGTGATTGTGATAGGACTCAATCCCTAAGTTCGAATGCAATGTTCTGCATTTTTTAATTCTTGATGTAACATGATCATCATCGATCCTAAACTGATTTACCTCCACAACCCACGTTGTTTCGTTGAATTTTCGGATTGTTTATCTTAAAACAAGTTACTAACGTGCAGTGAATTAATAAATATTCTAGATCTGTAATTCCTCTGATCTCCAAAAAATACTTTTCAGTTTTGTCTTTTATACTATGCACTGGAAATCGAGTGGTTAGTTGCATATTTACACCAAATCTTTTCAAGTTAACCAATAATTTCGTCTTTTTAATTTTACACTTTACAAATGGATACTTAAAAGGAATGAAATTCCTTCGCATAGGCCACTATGTGTTTAGCACTTCAAACCATCCAACAACAAATAAATAAGAAGAAACCTGAAGGACTGAATTGTTTTAAACTCTAGTATACTTTAAATGACTCAATAGTTTGATCTGTTCCCCTTTTGTTTATATAACTTGTTCAAATCGATGAACAAGTAGAAACATTGTAGGAACGTGCATGTCTGTGTATATATTAGCTAAAATATCATCACTCATAATTGGATAGAAAAATAATTTATATTAAAGAAATCAAAATAGTAATTCGATTAATTTTAATAATCCATACTTCAAAGGAATGTAGCAATTATTGCTTAGAGTGAACTTCATTGGATTTTATTGTTGGATTATTTATTTATATAGCCTGACAAAACTTCAGACACCAATGAGTAATCCAATGGGAAATGGAATAACTGGCGAGTGTGAAACACATTTCAGCCAACAATTCAATATACTTGATTTATCCACCGATCAATTATTTGGTCTTTTAGTAATGCCTATCATTCGTAGAATAGTCACCATGTATAATCCCTGTAATTATCCGCATACACTTTTTAACACAACTAATATTAATTTTCCATCAATATCACAGTGAACGGAAAAGACTAACTAAGAACAAAAGATGTGAATTCGTGATATTTAGTGAGTTTTAGAAGTTTTTTATGCACGATACAAATTCCACGAGAAGCCTTTAGCGAAGTTACTTTTCTAAGAGTCATCACCATAGGAACTTGAAATGTTTCGTTACCTAGACGTCAACACTACTAGTCTACAATGTAATGAAACATGTGACATTTTGAAATCGATACACTTTTCTTCTTGTTTGTCTGTCTACCAATCTATCTAAATGATAGTCATAATTGAGTGTTGTCTTTGAAACCACTGACTTTAGTAACAAACAGTTGAAACCAGAGTCCTAACCTATGATGAGCAAGAAAAGAAACGAAAAAGGATAGACAGATAAAAAACAATCGATAGTGGAGAGCGAGATTTGGGACAGAAAATAATTTAACTCACTTATTTGAATTAGTATTGTCTCAATTTCCTTAATTCTTATTTTCGCTCGTCACTGTCTACTTCCCAACAATTTCACATTAGAAGCGTTTTTGTGGATTTTATAGTAGTTTCAGTGGTAGAGATCATGAGTCAATTGAAGCTAGACCATCAGTACTTCAGGGCTTCTCAAATTTCCATGGTGGTCTAGCTTCAATTTCCTACATTTCTTTGTTTTTAATAGAATTAATCCTTTTTATAGAAAGAATCTTACCAAGGTTAAGTTTATTACTTATGCTAAGTGTTATTGAAAATATCTAACACAAATCCAAGTATCTTAATAATTTAAGGGTTGCAACGTCTTGACAACTCATTAACTTTGTGTTTACAATACATACTATTGATCAAGATTTCAAACAGGTTTTGAACTCAGTCAGCAGCTTAGTAGATAACGAATTGTAGATGGGAGTGATAAGGAATACTATCGAATCTCATTGAGGATATCATCATTAAATTTAATATGCATCAAACTGAGGGGTGCAAAATGTGACAGAACACACGTTCTAGATCCCATTACTAGCCACATTACCGAATATACAGTTATCAGAATACTTTATGAACGTAGTGCAATTTTCTCCAGGTTTGGATAGTTGGTCGTGATGATATTAGTTGTATCACTTGTTTCGACAGAGTGTAAACATCATCCCAATGGCTATCCTTGTATATGCATATTCTGCTGTATATGTAAGATTAACAGTATAGAAGAAAACAGATAGAGAATGAAAATTCATCATTAATCATAGTCAGATGCTTAATCGTTTTGACTTGTATGTTATTATTGTACTGTCGACATTTGTGTATGTATTTTTTAAAATCAATATTAACCCTGTGTGTGAATTTACCTTCAACAGAATGACTCACCCAACCAATTTTAAAAATAGTCTACTTGTATTTCGACAATAATAGGAAGGTAATTTCTTATTGAGGCGATAGGATTAAACCAAAACAATAAACCTTTATCAGTGTGCAAGAGTTTGAGAATTCTCTTAGTGAATACATTTTTATATCGGTTTATTTTGTTGCTAGCTCTGTCTATCTATCAATCAAATGTTATTGTTTATAGTCTAGTCGAATCAAGATTATTTTGGAAAATGAAATTAATACCATTCAACTATTTAATATGAAATAAAGATTTAAAGCCTTACCTGTGTATGACATTTGAATTATAGTTATGAATTGATAGACTTTAGAATAATTTCGTTTTCAAAATAATAATGTTTTCTAAGTTATCCAAGAAACAGTCTGCTAATAGGAGGGACCCAGTAGAGGTCATGTCGTCATGCTATCAATTCGTCAGTGAAACCAATCGTCAATTGTAAATATTACACAAAATCGATTTTAATGCAGTTATGATTACCTTCTGCATATAATAAGGAACAATTATTTTTTTAATATTACCATTGTATAACTTAATTTAAAATATGTAAGAATGTATTTTTTTAAAGTAGATCTCTTTTGGAACCTCCATAGGCTTATCCAAACCAAACGCTACTTTTCAAAATACGTGAATTTAATTCACTCCTACTTATTTTTTCGGTTTACTGAATCATGTCATAAAACTAATCACGACAATTATTTTGATTGAAGCCTGTCAATAATTCTTCGTGACTTATGTATACCACTAAAGCTTACTATCCGTTGTCTTTAACAGTTTTTCGATTTGTACTATAGTTACTGGATGAGAACCAGTTATTTCGATTTTCTTCAGTGAAGACAAATTTATAAATATCTGCCTACGTAGATTATCTGATGAAATCCGGAAATTTATAAAAATCCTCCGGTAAAATAAAGTGCTTGATGTTATTTATCACGGTAAATGACACTTAGAAAACCAATAAAATTGTCAGTATAAGCATAATATAATAACTGAACTTAAAAATAGATGTCAACCATTATTTTTTAATTGTTAAAGTTTAAGAAATGGTGATAATCTAAAGTTCATCAGTCGATCATATGAAAGGTATATATATATATATATATATATATATATATATATATATATATATATATATATATATATATATATATATACAATAGTGAGTTGTATGCAAAATAGATTCCTTCTTCATATGGAGCATCCCATTCATTTCTAGTTTCAATACTCACTACCTGGTTGGGTCCCAGTATAAAAATCGTATATATCCGTATGTACTAGAACAACCGCAGAACGTAACGTAGTTGTACCCCAGATGACGTTAATTCATTTTAGCTCACATGCATTATTTCTTCAATATGCATAAATTCATGGAATTAATTTTGTTATTTTACATCAATTTGTATCACTCTTCTTAACTTTCTTAAAATAAACTATACTTTAGAACTTCATGTCCAGAAAAGTGGCAAGCCTGTTGTGACCCAGTACGTTGTCGATTACGTGGTAATTCTCAGTGCGCTGGTGGTCCATGTTGTGATATTATTAAAAAAAATTCCCTGGAAAATGTAAATCGATCAGCATCTTTTTATTGTAAATTAAAACCTTCCGGAACTATCTGTCGTAATGAATCTGGTACTTGTGATTTACCGGAATATTGTGATGGTCATAGTCAATGGTGCCCAGCCGATGTATACAAAATCGACGGTGAATTATGCTATACCGATGAAGGTCGTCGTGTAAGTGTTATCATCTTCAAAAATTCATTATTTTAAGTATATCCATTCAATTAAAAAATTTTATACGAAGGTTAGTATTTAAGACAGATACAAGCGTCATCAACATACAGTCTATTAATAAAAATAAGTAGCTAAATTTAAGTTAAATGCACCTTTTAAAAATATTTTATAGACTTTGAAGGATATATACATTTATATTACACAGTCTTGATATCGAGTGATAATGTCATCTTTACCAGGAAACTTAAAGCCCTCTTAAGTTTAATTCAGCGTAATGTCTTAAATGTATATACTGTTGAGGTGTCCTGAACTAGGATGAAAATGCTATGTAATGCATCTTGGTTGTCAGTGGTCATTTTATTAATGCCAGACTTATAATGAAAATTCATCACGAAGCTATACGAGAACACACTACAAATCTCTTTATTTTAATCTTTTCAATTTCTGTGAAATATAACATTTGCGAAATATGTAGTCTGAAAAAGATATAATTCGTATTTGACACAATAGAAATTATGAGTGTGAGCGGCGGCTTAATGTCTAGAGCACTCATCTTTTCGGTAATAGGTTCGAGTTTTGTCCCACTCCGGTTTGTTCAACCAGGTAGTATCATTGACCTTCCTATCAAACGATATGATTCAAATCTCTCAATACATAAATTGTACCTTGTAAACAAGTTAAATCAATTAGGATGTAAACTAATGTTCATCAAATAGCTGATAGGTTCCATCCCCTTAAATATTAAGTTTAATATATAACTGTTTATATCATTATTAGAAAGGGTTTGGTTTAGTAACTATCTGGGCAAAGTAGCTTAGTGGATAGCGCATTTTACGCTTGGAGTAAAATGTACTGTATTTAGGAGGCGGTGAAAAAATCAAAACAAATTTAGGCACATCGGGCTACTAGCCGGTTTATTGGGTGTTATGTAACATTGATATTTGTTAAATTTGCACAAGTAGTTATTCAAATTTAACTCACTTTTAAACGTTATTTATTTTGCTTACGGAGAAAACGCATAATCTGAAGATAACCTTAGACTGAATACTTTCTTGAAACCGCAAATATTCAGGCGATTGTTTTGTTCTAGTTTTATATCAATTTAGATGTGACCGAATCCAAATATTTTTATCATGTTATGGATAACAGGTTATCATTTTGTTACTGGCTATGCTTGTCTTTTTTTTAGTTATTCCCTATCTTATGCTATCGATTTTTATCTGTAGTTATTTTCGTATTTAAATGACTTCTCTGATCACTCCTTTCTATGATTGAAGTGGGTTATTAATGAGCAGTACTGATTGGTTATTCTAGTAGTCGGTTTTATTTTGCTAGGTAGTTGATTAGTTTAATTACATACGTTTTATAATGAACTAATATCATAGTAAACATTCGAAAAGTAATGCTTTTTAAATTTTAGAACTGGTGTTACTGACTAATCTTATTTCAACAATCACTGACTTCAAGAGATAATCCTGGAGTTCTAGTGAGAAGCCGTTACCAGTGGAGTTCAACCAGATTTGTTGTTAGATATCAACTCACTGAAGACAATGGTGTACGGTGGCGCAACTTCGTGGATTGGTTGAAGTTAGACATTAACACCGTTGGACACCGGCTCAGTGGTTTAGTTGGTTAAGCGCCTGGTGCGAGACTGATAGGTCTTGGGTTCGAATCTCGCGGAGGGCGGGATCGTGGATGCGCACTGCCGAAGAGTCCCATACTAGGACGAAACGGCTGTCCAGTGCTTCCAGGTTTTCCATGGTGGTATAGCTTCTACTGACTCATGATTTCAACCAGTGAAATCATTGGAAACCAGGATGAACTGGACAGTCTCTTCATCCTAGTATGGATCCCATTAATGGTGGGTGTCGACGACCCTATCGGGGATTGAACTCTGGACCTTTAAGTCTCATAATAAGCACTTAAGTAACATTTGGACCATTTGGGTAGCGTCTTAATGGTTTATGCTTTTGACTTTAGTCAACTTGTGATATTGCACAACTATCTTTTCAATACTGTCTCACTCGTCAACACGGCTGAACTTCACTGGTTCCAACTTCTCACTAGAATTCTAAGAATTACCTTTGGAAATTAGTCAGTTATGTGAACGTGATTATTTTTCACACAATAAGTTTGTTAAGGTTATATTGTTGACCTCATTTATGTATTACACAAACTCTGGTGATCTACAACATTTGCATCATTACACAAAATCCTTAAAAATAAATTTTTAGTTAGTGAAATCCCTTGTCACTGAGAATTTTGTCAGTAAACCGATAAATTCTAAAAATATAGTGAACAACTCAATTATTTAAATAAATGAATTGTTGTTTTGTCCTGTGACAATCACTGTATGTTGTATGCACGTGAATAATAGTAAACCTGTATCAACAAACACGTACACACACGCACTTAATAGTCAACGAGATTGTACGAAAAGTGCGTGATATGATGAACATGGAAAAGAAATAGGGGTTTTCACTTCCTCTCTATATATCTATCTACCTATTTCATTATCTACTCTTTTCTTCACTAGTTGTGTACTAATGTTTATTATATATCTAATTGTATGAATAAATAAATGCATCGACTGTTTTTCCAAAATGTTTATTGTCTTTTATTCTGGATAGATTTAAATAGATTGTTAGTCGTTATTGAAAATGATTACTCCGACTATCATATTACTTAATTAATGGCATGTAAAACTTGTCATGCTGTCGTACTTTAATTTTATGACTGATTTTAAATACAAGAAATTATTTCAAACAATATACATATTACTAGGTAATAATTGACATAGTTTAGTGTGAGAAAAAATCAACATTTCAACTAAGTAACTACTACAACATGGTGTCAAGTTCATTTGCGCTAACCATTAAATTTATTGTATTTAATGTTCCCGTAAAGATATGAAATATATAAGTTAAGTTTTTGATTGAGATCATGAATCGATCGATGTTAGACCGCCGTTGAAAACCTGGAAGCACTGGACCGCTGTTTCAGTGGTGGTCTAACGTACATTGATTCATGATGTCAATCAAAAACTTAATCTCTACAATCCCACACTGATATAAGTTAACTGTCAAGTTAACCATCCAGCGCTTCCAGGTTTTTCGATTTTGATCTAGCTGAGATCATTTCGTAAGTTTTAATATTATTGTAACATTACAATGTCCACAAATCCCCTAAACTAATAATAATCATATGCTCACTAGCGATTAGATTCAAGATGTAACTTATGGAGTTCTAGTGAGATGTCATGATCTATGGATGAAGAGTTCCTCGTTATGTCTCTACACCGGTTAACATATAATTTTTTCTTAAATGAAGCATAAAATTTATTCCAAATAAATAGTGATAAATCAACCTAACAATATTTATTGAAGTAACTCAATTTATTATTATTGAGTGAAAATAACGAGAATAAAACAGATGTTTTTTTGTTTTATGAAATCATTTAATGAAGCTATGCATTTGTATTTATAATTGCTCAATAAATATATGCGTTTATAGAAGAATAGAAGATTATGTCATAAAGTGTTGAAAAGAAGATAGTGTAATAATCAAAAGGCTAGAGAAGAATAGGAAGATAAAAATAATTCACAAGTCAGAAATTTGAGAGATAATTGTTCACTTAATAAATATTAAAGAAAAATGAAAGGTCATAATAACAATTGAATACTAGTTATGAAAAATTGTTAGAGGAAAAAAAAGTATAAAATAGTAATAAAAACAAAACCAAAACATTCTGGAAAAGAGAATTTGGGCTATGGGAAGATTAGGTTGGATGTATTGCTTTTACACTAAGAGGTCAAGCCTGAATTAGTGGATGGCCAACTTCTCAGTAGTGCATAAATTTTTTTATTCGATCTCACTTTGATTTCATTTCTTCGACCATGTAGATTATTCTGAAGGACGATTTGTTTTAGGCCATGTGCTCAGAGTTGATAAGGTGCTCCTGTATAGAGCTTCTGATTGTTTTGCATTCTGTCAACCCTGCCATAACAATATATACCTTAGGGTTTCTATGTCCCGGCTTAATTTGACTAACAGAAGAGTACGGTATATGTGAGTAATGTTTGTATTAGAAGTCCAAACCAGAAACTGTTGCTGTAGAAAGTATTGTGATACATTTAATTAATAAGCGAAAGTTATATGCACCAGTCTTTGAAGTATACTTACTATCTAAGGGTCGGAGATATCATTGAACCCCTCCTACTAAAGTGTATGGGTTTCGTTTTGAGCTTAGATCCTAGTAGCGAATAGGACAAGTGAGTACACATACCACTAGCATTATTATTGTCCTTGAACAGTGAACTACAATTACACCAAGGTGCCGCATGTATACGCTATGTATTTTGGTATTGACACATAAAAAAAGTCATTTGTTCCTTTTTTATTCACTCACTTCGGCCCCATAAGAACCAAAGACAAAATAGTTGAAACACCTACCATTCACTGATTAGTCATAATACAAAAAGATACTGTACTCGTAAAATATCTTACTAAATATTACCTGACGTAAGCCACTAAATGCGAAAATTATATCTGAAATAATCCCAGCGATTAAAATTTAAGTGATTCTAATGTTTCGTCCAATAAACTTGTTTTCGCTTCTTCAGCGTAATAATCAAGATTCTCAAAAAATCGTTGGACCCTTCCTCTATCCAATCTGTTTATTTTACATCGATTGCTATTCTGACAGATATTAATCCGGGATATTTTAGCACTACAATTATGTATTTATCAGAGCAGAGATTTGTGGAGACCGCCGTTAAAAAATTGGAAGTAATGGATGGCCATTTCCTTTTAGTATGTGACTCAGCAGTGCACATTCATGATCCTCTGCACGTGGGACTCGAACCCAGGACCTTAGGTCTCGCGCAAGAATGTTTAACCTTTCAAACACAACCGGAATCCAACGGATGAAGTGTTGCACAAGATCATGGATCGGTTGAAGTTGGACATTAACACCGCTGAATGCCGGCTCACTGGTCTAA